TCAGGCCTCGCCCTTAAATTCCTGGAAGCCATCTTATGGGACAGCAATGACAGCCTTCACTCACCTCACACCTACCTTGATCCCTTCTGCTCATTAGCTGGTCATTAAAAACATGAGGAGTCAGGGCTCGGGATACAGCCCAGCGGTAGAGCACGTGTATAGCACACACTTGCCTAGCACACACTAGCCCTGTGTTCCACCCAGCAAGGAAAATACACACAGACAATAAATAAACAAATAAGCAACACAAGTCAGATCACACCAGTTCTGGGCACAATGTGCTCGATCCCAGGCTCCCAGGCAGAGGCATCTCAGCTCCATGAGCCCACAGGTCTGACCATGTGTACCTGGCTTCAAGCTCTCCACCCCAGGCTGCTTCCTGCGGCCCTGCTCTGGGATGGTTCCCTCTCCTCCACCACCACCCACTCTCTCACCAGCTTGATTATTACCCTGCAGACATGCTAACACTGACCCAGCGTGACTGCCAGGCCTTACATTGGACTCTGATGGCAGAGACACTGTCCCTGTCCCTTGCCTTGCCACAGTGTCCCCGTGATCAAGAAAGGGCCAAGGAGGTTTAAATGTGTCCTGGAGCACAAGGTGTTGTTTTTGCCTCTTCTCCAGATGTATACGTAAAAACCTGCTGGCTCTGCTGGCTCCGATCTATCATTCCAGCTGCTCGGGAGGCTGGATTTGAAAGTGCAAGGTTTGCCTAGGCTACAGAATTCTTGCAAGGCCAGCCAGCACTCCATGGCCAGACCATGTGTCAGAATAAAAACAGAAGGAGGTCTGAGGATGCAGCTCAGGGAGTGACTGAGGAATTTCTCGGGAGACCCCAGGCTCCATCCCTGTGGGGCAGGGGGCAGTTTCCATGGTTTCTCAGAACTGCCTTGTTTCATTCTCCAGCAGGGCACAAGGGCAGACAGACAGACAGCTCAGCCAGCCACGCTTGCTCCGTGCTGTGCTCCCTAGGAGTCCGGGGCCCAGCGTCTCTTACCACTGTGAAGTTCAAACCTGCCGCTACTTTAGGGTTGCAGGGGGCGTGGTTCAGTGGGTAAAAGACTTGCTGTGCAGACATGAGGACCAGATTTGATCTCCCAGAACCCGAATGAAAACGCCAGGCATGGTGGCCCTTACTTATAATCCAGTACTGGGGCAGTGGAGACAGCCGGACCCCTGGGGCCAGCAGCCAGCAAGCCTAGCCAAATTGGGAAGGCTTTGTCTCAAAATACAAGGTACAGCATCCAGAGGAATGACACCTAAGGCTGACTCCTCTGGCCTCTACACACACACACACACACACACACACACACACACACACACACACACACACCTGCAGCTTTGGCTCAACTTTCAGTTTGTAAACATCAGTTAAAAAAGGCAAACGTTGTCCATGTCATTGATGCTTCACCACAGACAAGTCCCCAAGACTTAAAACACACTAGAAAAGAAAATCTGTCAAAAGGTATAGAATCACTGGTTAGGGTGGCCCATGCCTTTAATACCAGCACTCAGGTGGTAGACACAGGTAGGACTCTGTGAGTTCAAGGCCAGCCTGGTCTATAGAGTGAGATCCAGGACAGCCAGGGTTGTTCTGCATAGAAACCACGTCTTAAAAAAAAACAAGAAAAAAAAAAGAAAGAAGGAAAAGAAGAAGAAAAAAAGCGTGTACACTCTTCCAACGAATTCAAACCTTTGTTTAAACAGTAATTCCCCCCACCGAGTGGGGTGTGAGCCCTCTCCTACTGTTCAGTCACGAGGGTTGACTGCAGAGCGAAGCAAATCTCAATATTGACTCAAGGCCCTGTGTGCAGTCAGTAACTCACTACCACCGTCAGCAAACAACACAGTCAAACACAGCCTGCCAAAGCCATGTTGCTACACTCCCCAGTCAGAGTGAGAAGGGAAAGCCTCCTACACTGGAGGGAATTCTAAAATACCTCATCTGTCCACTAAACAGATAAAACAGACATCAAGGACAGAGCCCTGTGCGCCTCATCGTCATTTGGACACTGCAGGCCACATTCAAATATCTCTTTTCATTCTAATTAAGTAATTACAATTATGGTGATATCACAACAAATCCTTGGCCAAGCTAGAGTCTGGCCAACTAATCCATTTAAAGTGCTTTTTTTATTTAAAGCTTTTTAGTGTTTTGAGACAAGGTCTTATATAGCCCAAGCTGGCGTCAAACTCAGCATGTATCTTAGGATAACCTTGAACTTCTGAACCTCCAGCCTCCACCTTCTGAGTACAGTAATCACAAGAATTTGCCACATGCCCAGTTTCTGGGGTGCTGGAGATGGAGCCTCAAGCTAAGAAAGCACTCTAGGAACTGAGCTCTATCTGCTGCTTACAACGGCAACATTTTAAAATAAAGGAAGCCTTGTCTGTCTTTGAAGAGATTAAAAACACCCTAGGGTGTGGAGCTGTTTGTTCTAAGGGCAAAAGATTTCCAAAAGCTAAGTTAGGAAGGAACTGCCTCCGAAGTACAAAGTGTCTCCCAGACATGCAGCAGCCTCACGTTGGCTGGTGTCAACAGAAACCATTTAACTTATTTTAGAACGATTTCAAAGTATTGGGAATTCTTTAAAGGTTCACCTTTTATGTGAGAGAGTGTAAGCAAGGCTTCCCATGCCCTCCTGTGCTTTAATCACACCTGACAGACATAAACTGCTTGTGATAAACTGCTGGTGAACATGTGGTATGGCCCTCAAGATGCCCCGAGCCAGGACTAGCGACATAGCCCAGACAGTAAAGCACTGGCTTGCGATCATGTGTGCCTAAGAGAGAGTCCATGTGCAAAAAGCTGGGAGTGCTGGTGCATTCCTGTAATCCCAGCACAGGGAAAGAAACGGATGGAATCTTGAGGCTCACTAGCCAGTCAGCCTAGTCTAGTATAAGCAAGTTTCTAGGTCAGAGAGCCTGTCTCAGTCAAAAGGTAAAAGGTACTGGAGGAATGAAAAAAGTCCCGAGGCTGCCCTCTGGTCTCCACATGCATGTGCTTGCAACTGCATACTCAAATAAAGAACCATCCACCAAACCAGACTGGGTACAATGCAAAAGCAGTAGCTACAGCCTTGTACCTTCGGTGTGAGGATTGATGCATCTTGAGCACTAATTTGGACAGAATGAACTTGCAGAATACCAGGTTCTGGGTTATCATGGAGCTCCTGCAGAGGAGGGGATAGTATGATGCACTATCACTGTTCTTCAGACGCCCTCCAGGGTCAGGCTGGGGTCTTACCTTGTTCTGTGGCAGCAGGCTACATGCATACTGCTCTCAATGACAACATACTTCAGGAACTAAGAACGGTTGATGGTAGTAACTATGAAGTATGTATATAAATAAAGCTCCTTGAAGATCATGCTGTGGTGCAGGAGAACAGCTTAGTAAAGTGTCTGCTGTGTAAGTGCAAGGACAGGACCTGAGTTCCATCTTCAGAACCCACAAGAGTGTGGCAGCACACACTTATGACCCCAGCAGCGGGGAGGCCTAGACGGCAGAATTCATGGGGCTCAATGGGTCAGCCAGCCTTGCCAAATCTTGTGAATTCCAGGGACATGAGAGACTCTATCCCAGTAAAAAGGTGTAAGGCACCTGAAGAAAGGACACTCAAGGTTTACTTCAGGCCTTCACATGCAGGAGCACACACATGCACCCCCTCACACATGTGCACCTGGACATGCATAAATACATACACATGAGAGAAAAACATGTTGCACATTAGTATGACACAGTTCTTAAAGCAAACCACTTCAGGGACCTTCATTCAGTCAGCTGACACACACAATGACCACCATCACTTCTTCACGACATGCTTCCTTAGACTCCCTACTTACTCATCACTGGAACAGCTGAGACCTAAATTAGACAGGCTGGGAGAAGAGATTGAGGGCCATTCAATGCTCATGCATAGCTACAACATTCAACTTATTCATAATTTGCATAATGGAGAAAGTATGTTTGTAACTCTCAAATATATTTCTCTACTGAAGGATTTGATAGCAAAAGAAAATCCGTGCTAGCATACAAAGAAAGTACCATTCATTCCCCTGACTACTGTCTTTCTGCAGAAGACACTGATGTCCTTCCAGCTAGCACCTGTCCCAACAGGTTTCAGAGGTCTGATGGACATGCAACACTGGCTGGTCAGCACCACCTCTGGTTGAATCCTTTAGTCTTGCAAGAGACTCCATTTCACTCTAGGAGGGGAAGGCTCTTCATTAGGGAAAAAGCAACCTCAAACAGCAATCCTCTAGCTCGCTTACACAGCAAATCTTAGTAGGGTTTGTGTTTAGATCACATGCCAGCTCTCTGCTAATATCTGGGAAATCCACTCTGACTTATAGATAAGGTAACTAACACCAATCAGATATTTCAGGTTTCCAGTAGAGTACAGGATCCATGCACTTGTTCTCAGCCCAGATGGGCGCTTCCAATTTGTAGGAAAGATTCCTCCAAACAACAGTAAGGTCATGTTTCATATACAGACATCTGAATGGTAAAGTTTTGGGGAAGCCCAAAGGACAAGAACCCATGTTCACAGTGAGATGATATGGGGGCAAAGCACCCCAAGGGAGTGCCTGCTTGGAATGCATTAAGTCCTGTGTTTGCAGTGTGTACCAGAAAAAGGCATTAGAAACTTGTAAAGTGGAAGGAAATGGGGAGGGGGGGTTGATGACGGAGAGCAGGCTAGACATACTCGGCTTAAGGTCAGGGCCGGCAAAGTCCTGTGCAAACGAATTGGGAGACCTATACAGACATATAAACACTCCCTGGGGTTTCCTGCGGGTCCAGAGAGTAACAAGAATTTACCTACCACCAAGCCGGTCCCTGTCTTTTAAAAAGATGCCCAAGGGTAATAACGCCAGGGTGAGCACAAACCGACCTAAAACAAGTTAATCAGGGCCTGTCTTCCAGCTCTCAGAGTCCTGGGCAGACCAGACCCCTCTCTTTGCTCCTGGCACCCCCTTCCCTTGGGTCTAGTCTCACTTACTGTTGCTGGACTTGAGGTCGCGGTGCAGAATAGGCACCACAGCCTCCTCATGCAGGTAGAGCATACCGCGGGCAATCTGCACCGCCCAGTTGACCAGCACGTGAGGGGGGATGCGGCGTGCGCGGCGGGGGCCTGGAGCTCGGGGATCCGGTGCGGCGGCTGCCAGCGCGCGGTTGAGTGCCCCGCCGCGCGCGAACTCCAGCACCAGGCAGAGGTGCGGCTGCTGTAGGCACACACCCCGCAGCTGGATGATGTTAGGGTGCCGCAGCATGGCAAAGAGCCGCGCCTCGCGCCGTACGCTCTCGGCCGCCGCCGCCGCGTCCTGCTCAGGGTCCCGGCGTGCCGCCTTCACCGCCACCTCCTGGCCCTGCCAAGTGGCTCGGTACACCTGGCCGAAGCCGCCAGCTCCGATCAGCTCCTTGAGCTCCAGGCGCTCGAAGTCCACATGCACCGGTGAGTAGGGCTGCGGCAGGGGCGGCGCAGGCGGCGGCACCGGGCCACACGGCGCCACGTAGCTGGCGGGAAAGATGCCCAGGCGTCTCTGCACTTGGCCGGCCCACCAGCCCTCGTCGCCTGACACCGCCGCGTCCTGGGACAGCACCTCCACCAGCTGGCCGCGCCTCAGGCTCAGCTCGTCCTCGCCGCGCGCATCGAAGTCATAAAGTGCGGCCCACATCCCGGAGGAGGAGCACCCCGAGTCGCCCCGGCCTGGGGACCGTGGCGTGTCTGCCGTGCCCTCGGCTCCAGGTAGTGCCATAGGGGCGATTGAGAGGTCGCTGGTGGTCCAAGAGCCCTAGCCACCACCTCAGCTTCCCTGGCCTCCAACGGTGCGCTTCATCGGTCCAAGCCAACAGGGAAGGGGTGCAGGGATTGAGCGGGACAACAGAGGTCACGCCCACTCCCCGAGGGCTTTGGCCTCAGCTCTGCCCCTTGTTTGGCTAGCTTTCCTTCTGCCGCTGGCGCAGATGCCGGGTGGCGGTGCTGGGCCTGACGTGGACTCCCGCGCGCTCCCCAGTAGACGCCCCCCAGCCCCGCCTCCTTTAGCGACTCGGTCCTCCAGGTTCCCCCTGGCACCAGCCCTGTCTCCGCCGAGTTCGTCACCCCTGGTATCCACCCTCCAGATCCATTAGTCCCGCCCTAGTGCCCGTCCCGCCCTCCGGGTTCTTTAGCCCCTGGAACTAGCTCAGGAGCCTGACCTGAACCCGCCTTCTGGACCTGACACGCCCCCTATATATCCATTCCGCCAAGTGAACACTTCTGTCCCTGCAATTCTGCTCTCTCGGACCGGGTCCTCCCTCCAAGCTTCCCTGGTTCCACCCCTGGTGCCCGCCCTTCCTTTCCAATTTCATTCTCCAAGTTCATTGGTGCCCCTGGATCCACCCCTCCAGGTCATTAGCCCCTCCCTGGTGCCCACCCTTCCCAAGTTCATTCTCCAAGTTCATTGGTGCTCCTGGAGCCACACCTCAAGGTTCATTTACCTCGCCCTGGTGCCTGCCTTCTCGGCTCTTCCCTCCACTCTGAGTTCAAGAGTAACCCTGAATCTTCACCCCGGAGCCACCCTCTACAGGTCCTTTAGGAGTCTGGACATGGCCGGCGAGCGCTTGTCTCCAGGATCTGACCTCTAGATCACTCGGTCCCCTCTACCGCCCTTCAAGGTCCGCACCTGCTTTCTAAGTCCGTTCTGACCCCGCCCCCCAGACTGTCAATCTTTTCACGTCCATTTGTGTCTTACTCTGAGCCCGCCCTCCAGCGTCCTCGCTGCTCTCCAGGGCCTAGGAAAGCCGCGCTCACGTGGCCCGGAGGGCGGAGCAAGCCTGGGACCTCTTAGAGCTTTCCGGAGAATTAAAGAGATCTTGATGCATAAGAATGGATGGGCTCCGCTGTGAAAAGAGGAAGATAAAGAGAAGAGGATCCTTGCGCTCCAGATGTCAAGTGACAGACCATCCTAGCAACAGATGCTCGTATATGGGCCAGGAATGCTTGGTCTCACCAGGCTGCAAGCATGGAAAGTCTCCAGATGCCCGAGTGCGGCGAGCCCCAGTCGCATAACCCCAAAAGCTGATGCATCCCTGTGCCTGCAGGGCTCCGGTGTCATGGATCTCCAGGTCGCACCTAGCCGGGTGCACCCACCGGCTCCGATGTAGGCTACTGTTAAATTTCACACCCGAGAAGAGCCGCTGAGGTGCCTATTTAACATGTCAAAGCGGACACTAGCAGCCAGGTTTTCTGGGTGTCCCTCAGTCTCTACCTACTACAGGGTCCTCCTGACTTGGCTACCCCATCTCCTACCCTGAACTCTCTAGCCCAGGGATGTGGCTACTCTTCCCTACATAGTCCAGACATTTTGGTTACCCACACTGTTTGTACCTTTGGCCTCCCGGCTTCTGCACCTGGTTCCCTCTCTCCCCCACCCCTTCCCCTCTCCCACGCGGCCCAGCTCAGTCTGGTCATGTCCATTCTGGACTCTCCCACACGTCTCTGCCTCTGACTATGCTCTCCCGCGTATCTATAATAAACTTTCTTCTCCACCATACCTAGGAGCCGTCATGTATGTCATTTTCTTTTTATCTATTTTTTTCATTCAGCTGCCTTAGCGGCCCCTGTGAGCTACAGGTTGCCAGGGTGCTGCAACCAATGAAGCTTAAAACAAACAGAGAATACAGCTACAAAATCATCCCAGGAAATCAACAGAATGTACTAAGACGGGGCTTCCCGACCAGTGACAAAGAAGGATGAGCCTTAATACTAAAGCCTTATAAGCCTCCTTACAAGGAGGTTTTGTATTGTTTCTGCTGCTTCCTGATTGGTTTGGTTTGTCTTCTTGTTTGTTTTTGGTGTCTGAATTTGCTCATCTGTAAAATGTTAAAGGCAGTGGGTGGTGTTTTCCTCATGGGGTGGCCGTGAAGAACCTGGAGGGTGCTTACTGCATAGTAATTCTCAAATAGTGCTTGGTACCAATACTAATACTTCTTTCTTGAGGCAAGGTTTTATACATAGCCCCTTCTGGCCTTGTACACACTTTAGAACACAGGTTGGCCTGGGACTCACAGCCATGCTCCAGCCTCAGCCTCCTGAATGCTGAGGTTATGGGTGTGAGGCGGCAGCCAAGCTCAGCATTTCCTAATAGAGCAAGCAAATGTCTGCCAGGACCCCCTTCACAAACACATTTTCTAGCTTTTCTATTATTTTTATGAATATACTTTTTAGACTGTGTGTGTGTGTGTGTGTGTGCGTGTGTGTGTGTGTGTGTGTGTGTGTTGCACGTGTGTGCCCAGGTACAGAGACTAGAAGAAGACATCTTCTCCATCCTATGCCTGGGAGATAAAAACCTCTCACTGAACCTGGAGCTAAGTTGACAATCAGTGAGTCCCAGGGATGCTCTCATCGCCCCATGATGCACTGGTGTTACAGAGATGGCTACACCAGGCATTTTATTTGGTCCTGGGAATTCAAACTCAAGTCTTCCTGCCTTTGTGACAAGTGCTTTTACCCACTGCGCCATCTCTTCAGCCCTAACTTTTCTGCTTTTCTAATATTCACACTGCAGTTGCCTTCTGCCTCTGACAAACAATATGGATTTTCATCTCCAAGCAGTGAAGTCAAGACTCGTGTGATGAAGCTGAGAGTGAATCACCCTAAAAGAAAAGGATTTGTGGAAACTCCATTGGCACAAGGATAAAACGAAATCACCAGGACAGAAGCCTGATGGCAAAGACTTCCATGAAAAGACTTGGGGGTGCAGGCTACAAAGTGGCTTCACCCTCCTCTGCAGCCTGCTTCCGCTTTAGTTTCTGGTCTGATAGGAACTCCATGGGTCATTACAGCTAAGAGCTTCTCTGTCATGGACACTCACGCTACTCAGAGAGGAGCCAGGGTCCTGCAGAGGAAGAGGAGGGAATGTTGCCAGTGGAAGGAGAGCTTAACATCTAAAATCTCAGCTTCTATGGGGTTGGGAAGATGGTTCAGCAGTAAAGAATTCTGACTGCTCTTCCAGAGGACTTGAGTTGGTTCCCAACACTCCCATGGTGGCTCACAACAGCCTGTAACTCCAGTTCTGGGATATGATGCCCTCTTATGGCCTCCATGGGTACTGCATGCACATGGTGCATATACACTTAGGCACACAGGCATGAACATAAATAAATATTAAAAATAAGAATAAAAACCTGCTTCTGTAGTGTGGAAGGAGTGTAGTGTTATGGGGGAAAGAAACCAAATACACAAGAGATGAACTGGTCCTGGAGGCACACACCTCAGTCCCAGCCCTTGGGAGGTAGGGGCAGGAGGATCATGAGTTCCGGGCTAGTGCAGGCTACACGGAGAGACTTGGTCTCAAAATCACAAGAACTGCAGGGGTGAGGAAATGGAGACAGTGAAAAGTCATTGTCCTTGACTTTGGGATCTGAGAGGGTCAACACAGGCCTGCGGAAATAACTCCAAAGATAAGGCGTAGGGTGGATGAGAGACGAAAAGAGAACCCGAACAGAGGCAACCCGGAAACCTGCTGTGGCCAACCCTGATGCCCCTCGATGACAGGGACCGAAGCTTGCCTGAGAAGAGCCGAGGAGGAAACCAGAGCACAGATGATCTTAAGGCTGAGTCTGCATTCGAATTTCAGGAGAGACTAGAAGCCAGAGAGGCCAAGGAGTAAGAAAAGTATTTCCTCAAGACCTGGGGGTAGGGGGAGTGTGGTTGGTACATTGTGCATCCCAATAAACTTATCTGGGGGTCAGGAAACAGAACAGCCACTATGTTAAACATAGCAATTCCTGTTACAAGGGAGTGTTTTAAAATCTGGGGGGGAAAAAATGGGCCGGTGAGATGGCTCAGCATAATGACCTGCGTTTAATCCACAGGGTCTACACGGTGGAAGAGGAAACTGATCCCTCAAGTTGACCTCCACAAGTGTACACGGTGCATGTGCATATTTGAATGGATACACACATGTACCCCAAATGTAATTTAAAATTTCAATCTGGAAAAAAAGATGCTAGGAATAGAAAAATGCTTTCCTCAATGTTTACTTATGTATGGCACCCATCTTTCCTTTTATATTTCTGTTCAGAAAACAGAGTTGCAGAAAGGTGACAGTTTAGTGGGATGGCCTTTGCTGGGTCCTATGGCTAATGTCAAGACAGAAAAAATGTTGACAGAGAGCTTCAGAATTCAGAAACATCAGCTGTCATTGCCCGCCCTGGATCCCATCTTGGAATCAAGTGTGTGTGTGTGTGTGTGTGTGTGTGTGTGTGTGTGTGTGTGTGAGTGTGTGTGTGTGCTGTATGCCAGGGAGCAAAATAAAATAACTATTGACATGAACTCTCCATTATTAGGGGGGAGTTTTTTCTACTGTGAATAAGAGAAAGGAAATATCCGGAGGCATCTGGAAGAGTCCAGAGCAGAGGGAAAAGAAAGCAGACTGGACATGGTCAGGCCTTGGGAAGTGGGAGAGAAGAGGGAAGATAGAGAGAGAGCAAGAGACAGAGACTAGAGCACAGTGAGGGGGAGATTGAGAAATGGAGAGAGGGAGGATAGCAAGAGAGGGAGAGAGGGGGGACAGAGAGGAGAGAGAGAGAAAGTCCATCCCATGGACAGTTAGGCAGATTATACAGAGAACTAGTAGCTGGAGGGAGGCAGTCATAGAAGAGGAGGTGAGGTCGGCTAGTATGCTAGTATGGATTCTGAAATGTATAGCAAGTACTTGTGATACTGAGGGAGCCTGGAGGCCAGCGTGGGTCTTGATACACTGATAGATACCACAGGTATATGTCATGTCGGAGAGCCATATGTCCCTTCTGCCGGAGATCAGGGAATGGACTCCTTCCTGGGGACTCAAAACCTGTTTCACAGGTTCCTGAGGAATGCTGGCTTTTATCTAACTGCCAGAAAGAGTCTATCTTGAGCTTATTTATGGATATATGGACAGCCCGAGACCCTGTGCGTGCGTGTGTGTGTGTGTGTGTGTGTGTGTGTGTGTGTGTGTGTGTGTGGTTTCATCTGTGTGCTGTAATTTAATATGACCCATCATGAGTGGAGACACAGCATTATGGTGAGCAGTGGGGTCT